CCTGTATTCCCTCTCATACGCCATTATACTATCAATCTTCATACCGTGGAGATCTCATTCACGGTTGGCTTTCATCGTTCCAACTCTTGAAATTATAAGCCTACAGATATGAAGCGGAAATAAATTCATATCTTTCTCTCGATGGCCATCTTCGAACGAAATTCATACATTGTCATGTTAACATGGAAAATTTCGCATCAACTATTCTTTCTCTAAACACCGTTCGAGAAACGTGAACGGAGCGTGGTTTGATCGGGAAAAATAAAGCGATTACCGCGAAACGAAATGCCGATATTCAGTGACCCGTGGCAGATCAGCCACGCTACATCAAAAACTTCCCATATTGAACGAAGATAACGGATCGTTCGATTTTCACGTAATCGAGATCGGTCTTTTCCTTTTTTCTATCAGCGATCGAATTGCATCGATGCAACTGACACAGAGGCCAATGAGACAATGTGACGAAACTTGATCAGGCTATCGCTCGATTTTCTCCATTTAACATACGCGATTGATATGCAGATTGGAGGATACATATTACCGGGTAATAATGTCGATGAGATTTTCACGATGAGGAAGTTCAAATGTTGAAATCGATGAGAACGATCCATAGAGAGTGATGCGAGATTATAAAAAGCGTGGAAAAAGTGTTCTCAAGTAAGATGTTCGCAAGTAAATTTGTAAAAAGTGAATAAAAAAATATAATGAAAATGTTAAATCGATCGAGATAAAGTAAAATTTTCGACTGGTTTTCGATATATGTTAACATTTTGCAATCACAAGATCTGAACTCTGACGTTTTGTCATCGTTGCCTTTTTTTATACCCTCTTGATATAAATTTGGAGTTATCAGTTTATAATTGAACTCCTATAACTGAACTCTGCCAAGTTTTCTATCAAGCAGTTTATTGAAAGTCAATTTCAAAATTAGAAATTATAGATGTTGTTTGTTTTTAACATTCACAAGTTTTCACATTTCAACGATCTATACCTGGAAACGCATTAAGATACAAAAGAATACAAGAGAGAAAAATATAAGTAAGGAAAATATTATAATTCCTGGAAATTCAACGTGATAATTGATTTATATAAGATATTCAATTCGAAATTATAAATATGTAAATGCATTAAAATAGAAATTAAAGACGACGAAATTATTCAGTATATATGTACAGTCGTACAATATCTTAAAATATGATTGATCGATAGTTCGCTGAAAAATTATATCGATCAATGTTTAAAGACAGATATAGATCTGAATTATCTATATGATTATATGAAAATAAAAAGTTGCGATTAATGCGCAGATAAATGAAAATTAATAGAAAATTGATAATAAATTAATCATAATTAAACAAAAAAATAAAATCAATTAATCGATTAAGTCGAAACCAAGAAGATAATCGATAAATTTTAAGACTTATCAAATTAATATCGTATAAAACTTTTATAATTAATCTTTATTATGATTATTGTCATTTCTTTCCATTTTTTTTTCTTTTTTGCTTCTTTTTAACCGTAACACGTAATACATAATGTTATCCGAATGGACTTTGTACAATTGATCTATAGCTTCACATTGTATTATATTTCCACAAGTCATTAAATCATTAGATGTCGCGGAACTTAACAGAGTTCGCGATCATGTAATAGTTCAATAAACCGAATTCTTTCGAGCTGAACTAATACGATACACATTTTTATTTTTATTTTTCAAAAATCATAGAATGAAATATCTATCTGCTATTCGATCGTCAAATTTATTTTTATACGGACTCGAAATAGAAGTGTTGCGTCTCTGGAAATAAAATTTCCCGGCCTTGTATCTGAAGAAAAGAAACAGATATTTTTAACATTCTAGAAAACTATTTATATTACACTCTGTCTGAAAAGTTTTATATTTTATAATCGATATTTTTAATCATTGGCTCGCATAAATGATAAAGTTTTTAATAATCTAAGAAAATTCTAGAAGATAGATTTGAAATAAAGAATCATTACTTATCGGAATTATAAAAAAATATTTCTGAATTTAAAAGATTAATCGCGAAAAGAAGTGTAAGAAATATTTATATTTTTCTTTTTTTAGAAAAAATCCATTTGTACTACTCCTACAATTGTTATCAATTCTTTTGATCTTCCACTTCGCACACGTACACACACTCCCAAGTTCTTCAACCATCTGTTGCCAAGTTCTATCTCCACAATGAAGTCTTATTAATTATCGACGATAATTTCTAGAGAGAATAAAGATACCATTGAATCTTGTTCTAATCTTTTCATTGGTCGCTTTTAAAATCGGTGATCAAGTCAAAATATTGGTCGACATTTGGATAGATGATTATCGAAAAGGAACACTTTAACCGCTTATCGTACCCGTAAATTCACGTTTCTATTGCTTTTGTCTCTCTGATAAGGACACGCATCTTTGTTCAAACGTGTAAACGATGGTATTTATACTGAGCAATATTCTCTCTTCCTCCGCGAGCGAAAGACGGAGAAAGTGTTGCGTGCGACCGTGGTTGTTTCGTGGTTCGTAACAGCCATTTTCCTCGAATATCATCCGGAAATTTTCGTTTGTTCCCATTTCATCGTGTATTTCAAAAGTGATTCGTGCGTGATTCTGATCTTGTTTCGTGTCATCTACGTTCACCGATTCCAAAGTGAAATTTATAAATCTTCGCCATTTTGAAAGAGACATTTTTGGCTGATACATCGAATAAGGTATGATTTCGATACTCTATTTTCTGCATTATAATTATATAAAATAGAATGAATGAACATATAAAGTGAAATTCTAGAATTTTTTTTTTCTTCCGTATGAAACTTAAAATTACCTCCCCTTTTTTTTCAATTTTTTTTCAAAAATATTTTAATCGACGCATGGTCTGGCATATTAAAAATTTTTTAAAATTCTACAGAATACGATATATATAATTTGTAATACGAATTTCAAAATTAGCAATAAAGAATCGCGATCGAACAGAAAACGATCACGTGGATACACTCTAGCTTCAACAATTGAGATATTAATTTCAAATATTCGTAGAAAAATTCCATTCCCTCCGCAGCTTATGGCGGATCGTGCAATTTGCGTTTCGAAAATATAAATCTTGTACGATGATGAATCCTTTAATCTATTAATAGTCATTATTCGCGAATATATTTTCATGGAAAGAAATGAGGATTTACTCGATCGTAAACGTTTTATAGGCCTTTGCTCGGTCTAACGTGGCTTCGATATTATCGAGGCGAAGCGTTCTCGAGGGCGCGGCATTCCTCGCCTCTAAAAAACGGAAGCCGTATTCGAGAGTTGGCCGTTTGTCTTTCGCGGCCAAAGCTTCGCAAACCGTAAAACGTGTGTATGCATCCCTCGAAAGAAAAAAAAGAACTTATTTGCCCGTAATCATACCGCCTCTAACCAAGGAACACCGTACCACTGTATTATTATCGTTATTATCGAACGCGAAACACACATTGAAAATGATCTACCGGTATCTTTTTTATCGATAACCAATATATTTTACGTTTCTTCTCTTTTCTTTCTTTTTTTTTTTTTTTGTGTGTGAAAAACATTGAGGAAATTGTGTGTTTTCTCTGCAGTTTTCCTTTTTTTTTTTTTAATTTTTATTCTTATTTTTCACGGCTTGTAGAAATTTTACTTTAACTTTTCCCGCTTCTTTTTTTTATTTACTTTAAACTTCTTGCAAAACTTTGCTACATTATTTCAAGAGAACGATTAATTGGGGAAAATAGGAAAAATTTAATTGAAAATAATGTGGCAATTTTGTCGTGTATTCGTTAATAACCTATTCCGGTTTTAACGATAAAAATTATACGCTGCAACGTGCTCGTTAATTTGCAACATATTCGATAATATACTTGTTCACTTCAGTGAAAATAAAATAATGATTAAGTAATTTATTACATACTTGACACAGGTATAAAAAAGTTTTATTCGTCTTTTATTCATTTTTTTTTTATTTTATTTTCAATGAATTTTTTTAGTAATCAATGAAAAAGTTGAATAGGTTTTTATTATTGCTTTTTATATTGATTTTCAACCTTGAACTGAGAAGTAATGATTAAATTTCTGAAACATTATTTCACGAAGTTTAACAAATATAAAACTTTGTGTCATTGAAATCTGAAGTCATCCAAGTTCTTTCGTTATCAGTTATCTTATCGATCATTTTTCCTCGAAGAGATAATTTCTTATCGACATTATTTTTGTTTTTTACGTTTAAATTATAAATTCGCATGTCCTTCAAAAATCGCTATCAACATTTAAAATATTTGTCCATATTTCCATATACATTTATATATACATTTATATATACAAAAAAGTAATAACATGAAAATTCTTTATCTAAATCTTTTTAATCAATATCATTTATATTGAACATTATTAATTACTCAGAATCAACGATTTTTAAATTAAAATTTTTAACAATATTATCTATATTAATTAAAGAATTTATAAATAAATTGATTTCCTACAATCATATTCTTTCAATCACTTGATAGATACTCCTATGTCATCAATTAATACTGTAAATATCCATTGCAAAAAGATTAAAAATTAGAATATATTTTATGTTTTTCTGAAAAAAAATGAAAAAATTAACACAATCAGTTGTTAATTAGTTAAATAAATTATTTGGTTTTTATAAAAGTCTAGTTATAATTTGATATTAAAATTTCGAAATTGTGGAAAAGTGGAATTTATCAATTTTTCATAACTTCAAGTTATATTTTATAAATGCACTGTAATCTCCAATTCTCTCTTTTCCTCAAGAAAAAAAAAAAAAAAAAAGAAAAATCTTGAAAATTATCTAACGCCATCTTTGCAAATTTTATATCGTAACCATAGAAATTTATCTTCTCGTTCATGTTGAACGAGAAGTCATTTTGGGCCATCAAACTTAGATTCGTTTCAAAGTCAACTTATCGATTTTCCCATCCAATGAAGTCATATCTTTTGTTTGATATTTCAACAGCCACATCAGCGCTGATCCTGAAAACGGAACACGATCATAATCGGTTGTCCAGCCTTTCCGGGGACAATATCCTTGGCACAGGGGTTAGAATTGGACGAGGCGAGGACGCAGTCGCGGTTGGTAACAAGAACATTATGGATTCGGCGCAATCAGCAATGATGAAGCAATCAGACTACGTCGTAGGTTAGTAAACTTTTCTCCAATATATTTTTTTCAAAGTGTTTTCTTTACCATTCTATTCGATTCTATTAAATTTTCTCCCATTCCATCGAATGATTTCTTAAATTGTTAATACCAGTTCAAATTTCTCTTCGTGTGTGAAAATTTCGTGAAGAAAAGTAATCGTTTGCGACAGGGACAAGTGTTGTTTCAAGACGAACTATTGGATTGTTACGTGTGTTTTATTCGTATGTTTTATAATGAAAGATTACTTTTTTTTTGTTGTTGTTGTTGTTGTTGTTATCGTTCCATGTTATATCTTTAATTAAATTCGAACTATGACATAACGATACGATACGATCGTGAAATGATGATAATGAAGCAGAAGTTGTATTCTATCGATAATGTTTGTGTTTTTTTTTCTAATAAAATATTACGTATTTCTGGCAATTTCTGAATAATGATATTGAAATTTTTAAAAAAAAATTCTCGTAATTGCCATGTGAATTAATATTTGAAATTATTGCCTGGACGTACATGTGTTATATAATAGCTAGCTATAAAAGTTTAATAATAAGTATAATTTTGTCGATGACTGACACGCGAGATTTTTTTTATTTTTTTTTCCTTTTTTTTTTCTACCGTCAATGATGTAATATATTTTATATGCTTTACATTTTTGTTTTATATCTTTTATTCACAATCTTGTGGGAATGGAATTAATTCAAAATTGATTCGATTTAAATTATTTATATATTGGGCTCTTATATATTAATTAATAGAATTTCTTAAATCAATAATATTGAAAAATTCTTGTATGAAAATTCTTTTACGTATAAATAAATAAGATTCAAATAAGATTCATTGATTTTTAATAATGTGCAAACAGAAATTTGCGTCATAAAATATATCACCTGTTAAATTATCATATTATTTTTTTAATTTATTTAAAATAGATAATTATTTGCGTGAAAAATTATGAAATTATATAAAATACTATGATTACATTTAACTAATTTGTGTCTAGAAAACATTCATTTGCATTTATTTAATACTTTAGAATTACATATTTAATGAGTATTAAGACGATATAACGAATACAGATATATTATTTATCTTGTGTTTACTTTTATTAAACAAAAAATCTAATATTCTAATGTTGTTCGATACACATCGGGAAAAATCAACTATTCTTTTAATCTTGTTATTATATAATATATAATTATCAATATTATCAAACTATTAATATAAATTGTCGTGCAAAAGATATTAAATCAAACAAAGTAGTATCTTTGAACAAATATAATTTATGTCTATAAAAAAGTAATAATTATTTTTTCCAAATCTGAAGACTTGATTATCGAAATGTGATTCGCTTAATTTCTGTTATTATGGATTATGGAATAATTATCAGAAAGATTATATTCCATTTGATCTTAATTTAATTAAAATTAATTTCTGAATTTCATGAAAACACGTCCGTTAAAAATTGCGAAAATCTTATATTTATCATTGTTTACGTTTATTGCATTTAAATTGCTTTGGTAAATTTAATTTTATTGATAATTCGATATTCGACCATGGAGTCAACAAATCAAAATAAATCTTATCGAACTTAAGGATAAATTGTTTCATTCAAGATAAAATAAACTGGAAAGTTCTTAAATGACCAAATTAGAATTAATTATTAATTTTATATTTGTTAGATAATTAAAGAAACAAATATTTAATGTATAGTTATTTCAAAAAAAAAAGTTCGAAAAGTGTAATTAAAAATTCAATTTCAATATAAATAAAGTGATTTATACATTGATTAACTATTATGGATTTTGCATCGAATATCAGCTTGAATGTCATAATTGAATGACTGGAAACGGAATAGAGTTATTGAATTAAATCCATTTGATCTGATCAATATTAATGAAAGTATTGTTAAATATAATTGACATACATTTTGTTTTTATTATAATAACACAATACTTTTTGACATATCTTTTTATATTGTAATATTTTATTTATCATTCATCATTGGCGAAAAAACATGTTATTTAACTTCCTTCATCTGAATATGTTAATTTCAAATAAGGAATTCTACATATTATTAAATAACATATTTATTATGCATTTATGTAATACAAATAAATAACAATATAAACTTGCTTTAAACTACTTTTTTAATATAAAATTTTTTTCTGACATTTTTAATTTCCTCGGTATTAAGAATCTAATCATATCATCGAATTATCATTGAAAATGATTCAACAATTACATTTATATCTATTCTTATAGGAAAACTACGTATTTTTTCTTATTTTTTAAAAGAATGATCTAATAAAATATATTGATCCAATTTTTCTATAATTAAAAAAAATCTTTGAATTACTTTTTCAGAAAAAAAAAAGAAATAGAATATATAAGCTACAATGATCAAATCTCAACTTCGAATAGTACTATCTCATAGAGATCTCCAGAGTAAGACAATTATAGTCGCCAAAAAAATATATATGCCTTCGTGATTGTAACGTAGTTTACATTAGTTTCGATCAAATGATTATCAAAACGCAGAAACATTGCGAGCGAGTAAAGTAAACTTCGATCGATTAGTCAGCCCGCGTACAAAGTTCACTGTGCCATGTGTTTCGAGGAAACGTGAACCGCAAAATGGCGAATCAAAAGAGGAGAGTTTCTATGACTCGATGTAAATTTACCACTAATCATTTGCTTTTTTTATTTTACAGACGTCGTCTTGCCGACAGTCCTGATTGCTCTTCTGTTCGTTGGAAACGCCATCATTGTTTATATTATCTTCCAGTATAGAAAAAGGTAAGAAAAGAATTATGGAATGACAGTATAACAGTATCAATTGATCGTTTCAAAGTTTTGATTTTTGTCACTTATTGCGCAGGTCATTCGGTTGTTCATAGAAATTAATTAAATTCGATAATATATATTCTTGATTTGTTTAACCTGAATTTTTCCTCGATGGATCGAACATTTTTTTCATTTGATTTGATTTTTATCGAGTTTCAAATTTTTTAAAGATTATTTTTCTAATATGAAAAATTTAAAATTCAATTACAGAAAAGTTCCAACGATAGAGCAGGGTGAGGAGATGTCCTTGCGGAACGCGGCTGAAGTGCCACAGGTGTGATTTGCACAAGGATCGACGATAAAAATTTTCACGGTGCCAGCCCAAAGCGTCAGTGAGAAGGCCTACGTTGCATTTTTTTCTACGAGGATGATCTCCAAACAAAAATAGATCTCTAAAAAGTCTAAATCGTCGAAGGGCATCGATCGCTATTTTTTTTCTCTTTTCTGAACTTCCGCGAGGATTGTCATTGAATCAAAAATATCTCAAGAGACTCGTATTTGATTTCAATGGTTTCACGTTTTTTCGACGATGAAAAAGAACGATTGAAAAAAATATTATCTGTTACAAGCGTGAAAATTTCGGGGACGCTCTCGAAGAAAAGATTATAAATATGTTCGTCGCCGTTTATAATAAGAATCGTTGTCAATATTTAGAAAACCAGGCGCCTAGTTAGTGCCACAATCTTCTACGTACACTTATACGTACATTTATACAGACACATGTACACGTACACAAACGCGAATAATGTATTATAACGTAAGGAAATAATATATTCTATATTTCGTCCAAATTGTGACTAAGTTAAGAATAAACTGATGTTTTCATAATATATTTGCTTTTGTAAGTATTTCGTTTATATTTCTTTTTAAAAATAATAATTTCATATAATATAATTTCGTTAAAAAATTAATTACATTAATTACAACTAAAGTTTAAAAATATTTTTGCAAAGGTTCACCTAAGATCTCTTCAAGAGTGCGTACTGCATTTTGCGCACACTTCTCTGTACCTTCGTCTTCGTCTTCTAATAATTCTGCTAAGAAAGGTATGGTTTCTGGTAGAAGTGGCATAAAATCTTCTCCAAGCTTTCTTACAATTTCAACCTATTCATTAAAAAAGAAAAAACATTAATCAAATATTTATTCATGAATTTGATCGAATGCCATCATTAATCATAATTCTGTATTTGTAACTGTAAATGAATTTTAATTGGCCACTTTCAATCAATTAAAATCGCGACTCAAAAAGAAATAAACGTTTACTTACCACTGCATTCGTTGCAGCGTTTCTAACATGCGGTTTCGAATGTCTGGTCTTTAATAATGTTTGATATACTAATTGTTTGTGTAAAGAATCATCGGGAATGGCACTGGCAAATGCTGCGATACAGGGTACAATTAATTCCTTCGCTCTCTTCTGATAATCCTCTGTGGAGCCCATAGTATTTTCCAATTGATCCACAATTGGTTGAGCAAGTATATCAAATCTTTCTTGATTCACGAAATTATGCGCATCGTAACTGAAGACTCGATAAAGAGTCAATAAGATGGCTTCGACCAATTCGATTTTACTCGATTCTTCGGGCAAAGTATTCTCTTGCAGTTCCTCGTTAATCATTGGATTATTACTACTTAATAGTACTGCCGCATGCTTGAGAAAATGACCAGCAAAGAGAACGAAAAGAGATTTTAAACATTCTGCTATGTTAGCTGAAAGTCTTACAAAAAAAAAAAAAATATATCAAAATTATTTAATATATAATTTTATGAATAAAAAGAAATAATTTGTTTTTAAATTGTTTAATTGACGCACCTATAAAACGTAATGTTTCGTAATTTATATTGTGGATTTCTAGCAGCCCAATCGTATAATTTATAATAAAGTGGTCTAAAAGTAGTCTCACTTAATTTTAATACCAAAGCAACTAATGCTTTGCTGGCGCTTTCTTCTACGATTATCACGTCTTCCTTAATCAATTCCGATCCATCTACTTCCATCACATCTTCTGAATTAAAAAAATCTTCGCGAAATTGCAAAATTTTTAGGAAGAAAGTACCCAAATCTGGTATAGCTGCGTTTATGTCGGTTGGTTGAACACTATTGAAAGATTCGGCCAACACATTCATTAATGCTGGGATACATTTATACGTTTTCTTTGCAAGTAACGTTGTGTACGTTCTGTTAACAGCTGGCAATAATACTCGTAAAGGTATACAAGAAGAAAGTTTTTGAGTGGTTGCATTCAATCTGGATTGCACAATGTTAACCTATGATAACAATAAAGAAAAATATTTAACGTTCAATATGATTTATGTAAATATAGGATTTATGAGAGAAAGAGTAGTGAATTGATTTTAAAATACGTGATAAATTATTAAATCATACCTTTTGATGTTCGGTATCAATATACACAGAATTCAATTTTGCTAATTGAAATAATAATTGATCCAGATATAAGGATAAGAAGTTTCCAACAGATTCAACGATCTTTTGCAAAGCGCTGACTATACTGATAACTATTATATCTGGTACACCTTGATGACAATGATCTTCCAACAATCGCAAAATTGCTGGTACAAATTTATTTAACGAATGTATCGCATGAATACGCATAGAGCTACATAATTCTGCGACACAGAGTGCAGCGCTGCCTAGTACGGGTCCTTCTCTCGTGCTTAAAAGTTCAGTGGTCATTTCAAGAATCTGTAAGAAAGAGAAAATACGGAATAAATATCTTTTAATATTGTATATCTATTTAATCTATTTTTTCTTATTTTAAATAATAAACTTACCGGTTTGAAAAGTATAGGATGTTCACCAGCCAATAATTTTGCCAACAATTTTATAGTAATCAGAACAGTTTGCTGAACAATCTCTTGTTCTTGTGTTTCAGATTTTTCTTTCGCTGGAATTATTTGTAATAAAGAATCAATCAACGTTAACAAATCTTCGTAATCGTCTTCGCTGAATTTTCGTTGTTGAAGACGCGTATTCAGAAGATCCAAAGCTTTCCTCTTTACCGTTAACAAATCATGTTCTATTAATCGTTTAATGCTGATTAAGAATATTCCATTTGGCAATAAATTGTTCACCAAATCTAACACATCATACAAGTGATGTAAAAGAACTTTCCAATACTTCCCAAATGATTTTCCTTGATATTTATCAGCGTTCTTTGAAGTACTCTGAATCAATATAATCAATTCAACGATCAACTGATCATAATACGGCCTTACTTCATCCACTTGATCAGAATTCAATTCAGCAACCTTATTAATGAAATCAGGTGATGATAACAAATTGCTTAGAAATTGTACCAAGGTATACTTATAATGTCTTAATTGCTTAGGAGTACTATTAGCAACATCAAATATATGTTTATATTTAAAAGACAATGCAACTTTTTTACCTTCTTCGTCTTCCATATCCACAGGTAATTCTTTCATGAATTGAGTCAATTTCACGCAAACTTGAATAATCTTAATAGGTGAAAACTCTTGAGATACTTGGAGAGCAAATTCTAATCTTTGTCCTGATGTATTTTGGACGCGCACGGTTCTCGACATAACATGACTTTCGAAACTTAGCAAGTAATACAAATAAAAATAATTATCCAAAAGCTGCAATAATTTAACGAACAAAGGCATTCGTCTATGCTCTGGTATATCTGGTAACGAAACAATGAAAGTTCTTAAAAGCTCACAAGCGTGATTTTCATTTTCAGCTGCATTTATTATAGGAACCACGGTTTCGATAGTTTTGGATATTATTTGGATCGAATAAGCATCATCCTGACGCACCACAGAACTGCCCATGAACGTGAAGATAGGCATAATAGTATATAATGCACAGCGTACATCGACGACCTTTAATAATGCTACCAAAACTAATAGGGCGTGATGATGAGTCTGAGGATTTCTCGACGTTCTGATACACTGAGTGATCAGATCTATCTGGAGATGAGCGTCACGGATAGGCAGTTTTTTAATTGTCAATCGGTGAATAATGGACAATAATAATTGATTCGTGTATTCTATGGGACTTTGTTCCTCAAAACTCAAACATTTTTTAAGCAAATCGAAAAGAATTGGATAAAGCAATTCCTCTTGCTCGATATTATCCGCTTGTTGAGCAAATTCTAAAAGGGTCACGCCACGTTTCCATTCCTTTCTGTTAATGATCGTTGGATCAGGAGGCGAATGAACGTGACCGAGTCGTCTTTTATTCTTAATGCTCGTGTCGTTAGATTCGACGTTCTTCAAATTCCACATGATCTTCAACTCGTCCACTATAAGCTGTGCGTTCACTTGTATCTTTCTGAGTGCTCTGTTAGTCGTAGAAATCACATTTGTCATTTCACATACCGTGGCCACGTCCACTAATTTAGCTAGAATCTTTTTCTGAAGATGGATAGAAACTTTTCCTGCACTCTCAAAGAAGGTGCTTTCTATCTGCTTCAAAAGAATAATACTTGGTGAATGATGAACACCAGATTCTGTGACAATTTCGATCTCATGCTCCTCTATATTGGTCTCAAACAATTGCCACACTTGTTCAACGGTAAGAGCCTTTACGGTTGCACTATTGAATCTTTGAAGTATGTTTTTCAATATATTTCCTGCAGATTTGTTCTTGGAATTTGTGTGAAGAATTTGAAGAAGTTGTAATCCAACAGGAGCTAATTGTTGAAGTATCGTAGATCCATTGACGTAAGCTAAAATATCCAAAAGCTGCGACTTGATGTGCAATGGACTTTCTTTGTCCATGACGATCTCGAATAACAATTGTTGAGCTTGTTGAAGATTTTTCCGAAGATCTGATTTCAATTGACTGCACACGTCTGGATCGGGTGATAGTAAAACGTAAAGAGATAAAGATAGTTGATCAGGATCAAGAGATATTTCTGGATTTCTGTTATTGAGTTCTTGCAACAAGGATAAGAAAGGATCTATCGTTACGACAGCAAAGTGTATAATTATTTCGAGAATCTTTAACGATGCTATCCGACACTCGTTGTTGTCTCTAGCTAATGAAAGCAACAAATTGGTAACAAAAACTTTATCTTGAAACGCCCATTGAATGGATTTACTTTGTCTCAAAAGTACCTGTGTTATTTTCAAACAGTGAAAAGAAGTTTGAACTTTTACAGGTTTTATGTACAATTGAGAGAGGAAACGCACAAGATCTTTCACCGTGGCAAAGTGTCTTTGAAAGAATATTTGTAAGCAACGAGAATAATGCTTGCACCAATATTTATTCTCTATCCCTTCAAAGAACATCTCGAGAAGTCTCAAAATTAAATTACTACGATGTTGGTTATTCTCGAAATCGATTATCGGATTGGACTTCAAATCGAGACGTCTGTGAACCATCTCCAGAACATAAGTGCCTACTTGCAATGGTAAAACTCCTTGAGAAGTCAATTCAATGGCGGTTTGTATATTATTTCCGGTAATATTATTACAGTTTTGTAACATCTTTACTTGCGGATATTTTTTTATCATCTCTGTAGCCATTTCGATCACTTCTCGCGCTACTTCCGGTTGTATAGATCCTACAGGTACTCTGCACACAGAGCCCAATAGAATCAGATTGAAAAACATGGAAGCTGCATCACCATGCGCGATTTGTTGTTTCATTGCGCTCAATATACTATCGGTTGGAGGTAATAGTTCCCAGTTTAAGATATTATGAAAAGATGCTGATGAAACCGCCTCTGCATTCGGTGATCTTCCTAAATCTTTTTGCACATGTTGCATGTATACGTTATTCTTGGCGAAATTTGACTTCAATACTTCCATTGTGATATCTACGTCTGCATCATCGTTTGGAAATAAATATGGTAAAGATGTTATGAAAACACTGGTATCGTCACCAACTTCACAGAGCTCCAACAAAATTTTTAACGCTGGTTTTGCTAGTACTTTTCTACTGGTACTATGACAAGTCGACAATAATATTTTCAATTCGTCGATTAGAATATCTACAGATAATAAAGCTGTTAAACGTTTCGTAGAAATAGACAGTAAAGCTTTGATTACATCCACTTCGGTGTCGCTAAATCTAGATTGAATTGTATTCGTCATCATCTCTCGAAAACTTTCAGGAATATCTACATCGGTTTTTGCCAACGTTTGCAACGCAATAATTCTTTGTTCCGGACTAATATGCATCAATCTATCAAGAATTCCTACAACTTCTTGCGTATCTCTAGCTCCAAAATGCCAAGATGTGATAAATTCCAATGCTAATTTTGAATTTTTATCCGTGTCGCTACGTTTCATTAGTCCTTTTAAATAATCATCAAATCTTTCAGGATAAGTTCTTTCGAGATTGTGATACAACTTCACAAGAAAATCTTTTGCTTCATTTGACACGTCATTCGAAAGGAATTCCTTTTGTAATACATTCCATAGGATAGTATCCACTCCTATATCGTCCAACTTGATTCGTGTTAATATTTCATTCACCATTTTCTGTACTCGAATTGTTCCTAATGGATCTTCCAAAATCATACGGCAATTCGTTTGCAATAATGGCACAATGAATTTTAATATGTTTATGTTAGACGATTGAAATTTAATTGCGATTTCGATGAACCAAGACAATTCAGATAATCGAGTTGCAAGACTTTTTGGTACTGTAGTGAGCTGATGAACTGATATATTATACAAGAAAAATAGCAAAAGTAGCGCTTCCTCTTTCAGGTAAGTTTTCTTGAATATTTTCAAAAGCAATTTTTCCGTAGTTTCGTTCTTCAGTTTCATTTTTGACATTAACTTTGCTAGAATCATGTAAGTGCTGGCTGCAAAATCGGCAATGGAACTTTCTAAACCTTTCAAAATAGTTGATATCATGTAACCTATTTGTACTTCAGAAATAATAGATACCTGTTCTATAGTTCCTAATAGTGAAGTTGTGTAAAACGCGTACAAAGTACTTAAAGAAGTGGCACGCTCGGAATGTATTCTAGTAGCAGTAACAACATGATTACAAATTAATTTTAGTAAAGCATTATCAGAACTAATACGGTTAATCAATGTTATTGAAGCTAAAGGAACACCAGGCTTTTGAAGAGGTTGTAACCAATGCCAATTATCTCCCTCATCGGATAGATCTAATAATTGCAATGCTCTTATAAACATCCGAGTTTCATGATAGGGTAATATTAGAAGCAAAAATTGATCTCTATTAAATTCGTGTATGCGAAATCTATATATAAGCCACTCAAGAGCTTTGTGCGCAACATTGAGCAAGAAATAAGGAGATAAAAATATAAGAAATCTTTCAATTTCTCCATCTAATTTTTTGTTAACTTTAATATCTTGTATAGCACGTTCAAGATTCAATGAACTTTGTGCAAAAAGAGTATTTTCAAATTCTAAAAATAGATTTGATAACTTTGTCAATTCTTGCAATCCATTCTGACCTAGGAAAAATTAATATACATTAATTACTTTTTTGATAAAAAAGATATATATTTTATAATAAAATATAATATCTTATACTTACCTATACTTAAAACTGTTTCTCTATCTAAATTAGCAGCTTCTCTAGGATCAAATAACAAACTAGCACGCTTTTTATCCTGAAGCAATATTCCAGTTTGAGGTGTTCTCAATTTCTTTAATTGTTCCGCAAGAGATGTAGTCATCTTAAAACTATAAATAATATTTTTTTACCATAAATATGTAAAAAAAGTAATATGAAATATAAATTTATAAAATATGCATATAACCCTGTATAACAAATAATTTTACCTTGTTTTAATGTGTTGTAAATATGAAAGTATAAAATTTTATTAAATATAGTATTAATAATTTGAAATTGTAAATATTAAAATATTTCTAATAATTTGAAATATATTAAATTATTTAGTAAAATAAAAATATACATGTGCCACTTTATTATATACTACAGAACAACACTGTAAGCAGCCATAATAGCGCATGTGCAAACTTCGATAATGGTTTCGATAAAGCATGATCGTTATAAGTTTGTGGTATAATAATCGTTTCATATATTCATATTTTATTAACAATAGTATTAAGAACAAAAAATAATACGATATTAGATTTTATTTGATTATTAAGATTATTATTATTGATTATCTCTTCATTCCTGTGATGCATTATTAATAAAAGGAAAAAAACTATTAATTTTAGGTTAATTTCATTATTTCAATGTAAAAATTCATATTGAAAAAAAATAATTTAATTTAATGATGTTTATATAAAAATATGTTAATCTAATATTTTTAATGGAGAAAATGGGTGACAAATTGGAAAATATTAATCCCAAATTATATAAAAAAATAGATGAAAGGCAAATTACTGCAGAAGATGAAGATGAAGATATTGTAGATGAATTTGATGCACGAGAAATTTTTGGTATGTATAATTAGTATAATAATATATCTAATTTTCTGATAAATTTTTTATTTACAGATATGATTAGAAATATTAATGATCCTGAACATCCTTTAACTTTAGAAGAATTAAATGTGGTAGAACAAAGTCTTATTGAGGTAATATTATTAAATTAATGAAAAAAATCACTGTTAAAATAATTTTATTTGATTCTAGATTGATAATAAAGCAAACATAGTTCACGTAAAATTTACTCCAACAATACCACATTGTAGTATGGCAACATTAATTGGTTTATCTATTAGAGTACAATTATTGAGAGTTTTACCCTCAAGATTTAAAGTTAGTGTTGAAATTACTCCAGGTACTCATATATCAGAGACAGCAGTAAATAAACAATTGGCTGATAAAGAAAGAGTAGCAGCTGCTCTTGAAAATAATCATCTACTTGAAGTAATTAATCAATGTGTTGATATAAAATTTTAATATTATGAAATCTATAAATTTATTTATAGATTTAAAAGATATTATATAATTCATTATTTTTTTATTTATTGAATTAAGTTTTGAATTATTACAATTAGATCTATAACTAATTAAATAAAGAAATATTATGTACAAGATTTCGTACATAAAATATTATTTTTTCATTGCTGACATTGGTGCTGATGTTTGTTTTGATAAATTTGTCACTGGATTATATTTAAATGTCTTCCTCAATGGATTTTTACCTTCCTTATTAAATTGTATTTTATCAGCATGTTGTAGAGATGATAATTTATTAGATATTTTCATGTTAGTCCAAGCTGGAAAAAATCATTCATATAAAATATTTGAAATAATATTATATTTTAAATATTGTTAAATATTATGAAAGTACCATCATTAAATGCTTCTTTAAATCCTTTTTTTCGACCTTCTCTTACATTATGTTTGTGTTGTATAAGAGGTGGAATATCAAAAAATGTTCTTATTTTTTCTGTTTTTAATAGTTGATTTTCTATCAAAGTTATGAAGTTTGAAATAGTCCAATGACATAAAATGGCCTACACACAAATTACTTATTATAATGTGCATATTACGCTTAATATAAAAAAAATTCTAATAATATATCTTACTCCTGGAAATTTCATTGCAAATAAAAATGAAATAACTGGTATTCCCTTGAATGCATGTCGCACTAGTGGAGATATATTTCCACTACTACTCAATGCACGTGTAGCAATAACATACATTGTTACGGTAGTACATAATGGTAACAAATAATATTGATCAGGAATAGTTAAATCTGTAAACCACCAAAGTCCACCTTCCTTTAAACTTTCTACAGGTTTAGTAGTCATTCCTCTTAAAGCAATAAATATTGGTAAATGTGCACCAATCTATTAGATATATAGAAACAAATTATAATATTTTAATTATTGTAGATATACTAGAATATATTTTTATGTTACATAATACATACTTTTATAAAATTAGTTACTGGAAATATCTTGACTTTATTTTTTGAAAGCAGTAATTGTAATTCAGAAGCATATTGAGCAGCTAGAAAAAAATGTAACATATACATTTAGTGAATATATTATATTATTTAATATATACCTTCCATTGAATTTCCAGAATTTCTTGCATCTGTCATATTTTCTTGTATTTTTACCATTTGTGGTAGAACATTATTTAATTTAGCACTATTTTTTTGTATAGCTATTGAACAGGGAAATGTTAAGAGTTTGACAATTGTGGATGTTAATATAATTGTTGCCCACCATGGTAAGTCACAACTAATATGAAGCCATTCATAAGAAGATTGAATAAGTCCAAAAGGACCATATCCACCTAATCCTAAGCTTTCAAAAGTAGGTTCACCATTTGCATGTAAATTAATAGCTTTTGTTACTTCTTCAACTATTGGTACAGGTATATCTTTAAAAATATAAATATTATGTCTTTATATGCTACATGATGTAAAAATAAAAATATTAAACCTGATATAAATATGTTATATATGTGATATAAATATACCTGGTATTTCATGTATAAGATCTTTTTCTATTATTGGACTATTTGTGTCTGTTATTTTTGGTGTTACAGGTGAATCTAAAAGAAAAAATTTTTATTATTATATTTTGAAAATATATATCAAATTAAACATTTTATTAAAATACCTGATGTATTTGATACAATTTCTTTTGCTGTTGTGTGTGCTGTGCTTTCACATCTAATGAAATATATTCCATGAATTTTTAAACGTTTATGAACGTTGAGTACACAATCTTTTTTCGAAGAAATATTTGTTAAATTATAAGCGAATCCACTAAACTGACATTCTGTTGTTTTCTAAATATTTATTATATTTTCAACATTAAAAATAAATAGTTCGATAGTAAACTACAGTAATATAACCTCAATGCAAACAAGGTTTTAACTTACTTGAAATCCTGTAGATGTATTTAATAATTTTCGACTAATACGTATGTACAATCGTGGTAACATATTATTTTATATATTATATATTAACAATATTATAAAATGAATATTATTATAATTTACAAAGATTTTTGTTTTAGGTATACTTTACATCACAATACGCGTGTGTGAACATAATTTTTACCTTTCCTAAAAAAGATCATCGCATCGTAAGAAGTTACCTAACTATATTCTAGATGGCATCTTAAGTACAACTTCAGGATTTTATTATTTTTTAATTATTTAAACAATATTTAAACAATAATACTATTTACAGATATATCATTTGTAAAAATTATATATATATATATATATATATATGTATATGTATATGTATATGTATATATATGTGTATATGGTGTGTGAATATTTATGAATATATATTTTCAATTCATTTATGAAATATATCTTTCAAATATATTCAATATTACGAATTATTATAGATATACATTATTTTTTAATTTAAAAAAATGTGAAATAAGACATAATTTTAAAAAATTATCTTATTATATATATTTATAATTTTCTTTATAATATCGATTTTACAAAATAATTTTTTTTTAAATCAATGATAGATATTCAGATTTAAAAACCTAATACCTATAGCATTTCAATATTTTTTCGTTTTTAGGTATATGAATTTAAAATACTACGAAGCTATTGACGCGACACTAGAATTATGTTGTCAGTACCGACTCACGTGATCGAATCTATTGCAATGACATTCAGTTTGCGTTCCAGAACGAGGGTTATTAAGACAGACCTATTATTTAAGTTTCTCTCGTGCCTTCTCTTCGATTTCATGCGATCTCTTCCCTTCTTTCTATCCGAGTTTAATACGTATACTGCCTTTAAAATATCTCTTAGTACGTAGTAGTTACTACTACAACTCGTTACAAAGTCGATTCTCTGTTGATTCAAGATGATAATATATGACTGCGAGAGATTTCACACGAACAAAAACAAATTTAAAAAAGAAGAAGAAGAAAAAAGAAAATCATGGAATAGAGGCAAAAGACGGCGCGCTTCTAATTACAGATTCACAATGTCAGCAAAAGTCTGTAACTACTATACTTTAGAACTGGCCGACTGTTAATTTCTCCATGAAATAATTCGGTAACAACTTGCTTTTTGGATGGCGCAATCATTATTTCGTTGTTATCCTTTTTTCCTTTTATGAATATGTACCGCAACATTCAATTAGACGCGAATTAAAGCAATCAGTTTGAAATGATTCACAGAATTATTTTTGACATTGTCGTTAGAATATACGGTTTGACTTGTACTGATTATTGGGCACTACAATTTCATTTCTTTTTTTTTTTATAAATTGATGATTAAAGATATCGTTAAGTTGGATTGAATGAAACTTGTATTTTTTATTGAATAAAATAAAAAATTTTATATATGTATATACAGAAAAGATAATGAATGTAAAAGTTTCCGAACTTTTACTTAATCTGACATCTACCGAAGAATTTTTAAATTTATATAAAAAATAATTATCACGTAGCGCCATCCAACCGCGGTGTAACAAAACAATGATCAACCATCGAAATTTTTTTTAAATTCTTTCAGAAACGTGACGTTGCATAAAAGATCGAAGACCGTTTCCTAGACAAGATTGCCCACTTTACGCTCGGGTAGCAGGTCAGTGAAAAATAATGGGATTGAACGTTCTCCGAAAAGAACAAGATAATGAAACTGTCACAGGAGAGAGACGACAACGGGTTCGGTCTCGTGTCAACGTTGTATCGCGATCCTTTGATCGTACCGATAAAACTCGTCTCAAACTAAAATTTCTTAAATCTTAAATCTTTTTCGACCATAATCTGAATAAGACGAACATTTAAATAAAGTCATCATAAGAAAGTTATATATATATATGAATGAAATATGAGATTTTTGATTAATAAAATTTATTCGATATAAATCGATTCTCGATTAATATTGATATCTCTAACTTGAAATTTGTTCAATGAAGTTGTCTACTTAAATGTACGTATTTTTCAACAAGTTTTATCCGTTTTTCCAAAAACAATTTATACAAGATTTATACATTGTAACGAAGGTAAGATATATTTTTTTGGCGTCTAAATTATTAAGTTTATTCAAATACAGTAGAGAAATGTGATATTGACAAATTTTATTAAGCTAAATAAACCTAATGAATTTTCTTTACAGTGTGAACTCTACGCAAACATGTTCCCCGGACTAGTCTGTAAGAAATAATGATATCATGTAACTGGTTACATGGATTAATCGTAAACTGGAAGATCGAAATCGTTGATAATTAGATCATAAACATGATTTCGTGACGGTACACGAAAACGATAAATCGATTTCAAGAAGATGCTTGTCTATGACAAATTGCGTTCCGGACGACTCATCAAGACCTGATCGATTCATTGATCGCGATTTCATCAGTGATATTAGCAGCATGCGAACGACGCGTTCACCAATTATCGTGAAATTTGCACGCTGCCAACTACTTCTCTCCTGTGCGCGCGATGAGAGTTGTTAATGACGACGTGAATCAGTGTGATAGTCGTTGTAAATCAATTTTTAATTGCGACTCGACCTGCTCTATCGTTGTGAAAGTGTTGCTAATATCGCGAATGAAATTCGATGGATAATGCGTCATGGTAATGGGTTGTTCGTTTGATTTTAATAGTTATCTGTCAAGTTGTACTTGATAAAAGAAGTCTAGTTCTATGGCTGATTTAAAAGCATAATGAAATCATAGTGAGTCACTTTATATCTCATAAAATATTCTATACATATATAAGATTATCTCAAAAAATTTTTTCATTATTTGTGATATCGATGGTTATTGAAAAATACATAGGTTTATTTTTCATTCATATTAGAATATTCAGTTTTCTCTAGATTTTCTATTACAAATTTTGGGCTCGTTTACTCTTTTAAAATTTATTAATTATAATGTTATAAAATTAACAAATTATAAATTGATTAGGTTAGATTTGATAATTTGAATAATGTAATAAAATAATGTAATAGATAAATATTCCAAGAAAAACATTAGATAACTGACATTACTATAAAATTTATTAAAATTTTAAAAATAATAAAATATCATTAACTTATATAAATATCATCCATCTTAATCACTATTTTGAAAAAAGAAAATCATGGAAAAATTCTAAGAAAAAAGTAAAAAAAACGAAAAGAATTTTTGGGATCATCTAAGACTTTGTTTTAATTGTAATGAACAAAAATTTATTATATTGCAGTTAATGATTATATCGTAATAAAAAAATCGCAAAAATCATTATATATGCAATCAAACGAATTTTAATAAACGACGTTGTATTATCGCTTTTTGAATGTTGATATCGAAGAATCAATGTGTTGATGGCAAAGAAAACGCTTCGTGTCTCTCTCTCAGGCCATTTTAAACGTCTTTATGAGTTTCGGCTGTTAACACGACCATGGAAACAGGTACGGGTTTTTTTCTCTTGATGCCTTACTCTTCTATTATCTACGGGATCTCAGGTGGCTAGCGCCTGGCACGCATTCGTCAGGGACAGATAAAGTCGTGATTGGACAGGAAGTACGGCCAAAGAGCCGGCCACTGTGTTTCTCTTTCTCCTTTTCTCGATTATACCGAGACTGGTTCTTGGCTGGAATAGCTCGATAAAGGTCGAATTTACTGGTTTACCTGTCGAAAGTTGGAATATACTGTTGATTTCCTGTGACACTTATTGAGTAAAAATTATAAGGAATATATATATATATATTTTTCGTATTTTTAATTCCTAAAAGATCAAAAATTAAGAATTATTTTCATCTCTCAATATATATATATATATATATATATTTGATTTTTTTGATCATTTAAGAATTAAAAAATTTTTTTTTTTTTTCAAGAAATTTTACTATATCGTTATCATCTGAATTTTTTAAATTTTAATGAGTTTCAAATTTCTCTTTGTCAGTAATGCAATGATAGTAATCCATCGTAATCCATTTATAATGGAATACAATTCAAATAGATCTTGCTATTTCGATATTTCGAATACACGTATCCCAAGTGTTCCATATGATCTAGTGGATAACCTAAGCGGAAACGAAGTTAACGAGTCGCTATTCGGCCGCAGATGCATCTAACGACTTCCTCGAAAGTCATCAAAATTGTTCGAATCAAAGATCGAGCGATTAAAGTTACAAAAGGGGAACAATGGCCCACCTTAATCAAATCGGATTAAAAAATCAAGAACAATAAGAAAATAAAGGGAGAATATCATTCTATAATGGATGCAATCTGTTTGTTTCGTTCTCGTATATCGGTCTCAGCCGCAATTTTTCCTGATCGTTGGCGACCAGGCTCTGTTCCCCCGCATCCTTTCATGCTCATATAGCTCGCGTGTCGAGGTAATGGTATGTACAGAAGGATAATCTAGCAGATACGTCGTCGTAGGTGCATCGTTGTGTGGGATCATAATGTGCAAAAGGAAATCGCCTCGCTTTAAGGTAAATGGTCGGGGAGTGCAGTGCGTGCCCGGCCGCGTGTGAACCACCACCGGTTTCCTTTCATTCACTAAAGTTTCTTCATCGCGAATGTCGCACGATTGCTACGCCCGATTATCGTTGTGCGAGCATCATCTCCGTGGTAAAAAGAATTCTTTCGCGGAACCGATCCGTTAGCGGTTAACGGGACCGTGTCTGCAAATTTTTACTTGAACAAAAATTTGACAATATAATTTTCATTTTTCTCAATTCAATTTTAATTATCAATTTTTTATCGTTATTGGTATATAATGGTAATTGAATATATTGGTCAAATTAAAGTGACGATAAAAAGTTATTAAAATCCTGAAATATTATTTTTGTATATTATGCGGTACCATTTTTTATCGATATAATTGAAATTATATATCGAATATCATTGAATTGAAACGATAATATAATGAAAATTAATATAATATTTATTTAGTATCGAATGAAATTATTCAGAGGTCGTACATCGAGTTTTTTCATCCGTGACGAAATCGGGAACACGAAAGATGATGCGAAACGGATTAATCATGGAATCGGCATTGTCGGTACGGGAGAAATTGTTTTCGATTAGAATTTTATGAGCTACGACCCCATTGTTACGTATTATTGTTTGCAAAGCGCGAAATATAGTTCAGGAGATCGACCGTGTGCTCGATTGAAATATAAACAATTACGCGCTTCGAATATTCGTTTACCATTCACCGCGTGTCTTTCACTCATTCGACGAGTCGACTTCGTTGTGTAAGGACGTATCGCGTTTATTCTATAATATTTTACAAAAATCGGAAAAGAAAGAAGAGGATTTCAAAGAATGAAGAAAAGAAACGATGAAATATACAATCGAACGGAAGATGACGGCCCTCATCGAAAAAATCGTCATATCAATCGTGTCTGTCTTGAATTTAAAACACCATGTATCGGAAATCACACGTAACGAGGTGTATTAAAATTGTACCGCCCAGTTCGGTGAACGAAATTCGATAAAACACGGTCCAATGGGCTTTCAGTCAAAATTTAAACACCGAATGAATGGTGAAAAGCGGTTATTTTAATCTCGAAATTATTCCACCGTTCCATTCAATCGTCAACATTTCGATAACCGTGATGGTTTCAAATAATTCGAAGCTTTGCATCAGATTTACTGTCGATTCAATCACAATAATCCTTTGGTCGTAAAATATTCACCAAAAAATTTCAAACGCTACAAAATTCATCGTAAAAACTCTAAAAACTTTTCGATAATTCGATGCAAGAAAAGAATTTTCCCGTAGAAAATTAAAACCTTTCGGAAAATAAAAATGAAATTAGTTGGACCAAATCATTACACGCTTCGCTGTATCGTAGAACAAGAACGATTTTCGATGATCCAAAGCGAGAAAAAAAATTCTCCCCTAGGAAATTTTCCTTCATCACGCGGTGGAGGACGTAACTAGGGATTCGCGTGACACATTAATCTAAAATTCGCGCGTGAGACAACGGAGGCCGCGAATCGGTTCGCGAACACGCCACTTATCATAATGCTTGCTTAATGCTCGTTGCCGGAACGTGGTCTCGCGTGTAACCACCTTGTAGAGGAACGCCCGTGGGACCAACGAGACTTCCCTCTCGCGATTTGTCGACGAGTGCATCGGGAACATTCCCACAAATTGGCAGCGGCCTGTTCGAATCGGAGGGGACAAAATAGAGAGAGAGAGAGAGAGAGAGAGAGAGAGAGAGAAAGAAAAGAAGAGAAGAA